TGTTTCTACTCCCCACAGCTTTGGCCTTGAGGAACTACATTTCTGCCAGCAGATGAGCATGCTACTTTAGGCACTTGGCTTTGTTTATGGAGATGTTGACTTGAATCGGGGGTGAGCAACCCAGATTAAAAGGTCTCAAAGCCCTCAAAGGGGCTGGATGCTGGGTGGGCAGAGAACATAGCCTGGGGCCCCTGGAACTGCCTGTGGGCCAGCAGAGCAATGCTTCCTTTGGCGTTCCTTTCCCCTCCCGCTCCCCATGGTAAGCAGTCTTTGGTTGGGGTGGTGCCCCATATTTCCTGCAGCTTTCATGCTCAATGAGGACTGGGTACAGAGGGGCCCAGATCTCAGACACTTACAGTGGAAGCACTTTAGGAGGCCCTGGATCCCCGCTTGTGAGGATGATAATAGCAACCAACATTATCGAGCAAGCCCTTTGTGGCTGTTCACTGTTACACAGTCTTCCTCTCTGGGTAGATATTCCTCACCCCTTTCCCAGGTGCGGGAGAGAGGAGCCTGGTAGCCAACCCCCCCCCCCCCCCCCCCCCCCCGCTTCACTTCCAGAATATGTCGGAGCATAAATTGATTGCGGGTGTGAATGAGCCCTGGAAAATCTGCCTTGCCAAGTGAGTAGAAGACACGGTCATAAGTGCCATCTTCTGACAACATCACTGCTAGCAGATTGGGGGAGTTCAACCTGGAGAGAAAAAGGAGGGGACCAGGGTCCACTCCCTTGATTAGAGACAGAGCCAGGGCAGAGGCAGGCTTAGTTCAGCACTCCCTGTGGGCTGCACAGTCCACAATCTTCTGATCATGATTTTGCTCTCAGAATATCCAAATGGCCTGGGTAGCTTTGATATACATTAGTAGCCTAATGCAGCCTCGGGCCAGCCTCACTGTCTGTACTGTCTGGAAGGACTCGCCTCAGCCACCCTCTCATCGAGGCCCTTAGTACCATCAGTGAAGAGGGAGCAGGCAGTGGGGCAGCCCCTGGCCTGGGCCCAAGGCAGCCACTAGGGGGTGAGGTCCGCCTAGGGCCCAGCAGCTGAATGGAAGGGTGGGCAAGCCAGTGGCGGCTTTGCTGCGCCCCTCCCTCTGAAAGCCGTGCTGTGGCTGAGCGCTGCAGAGGCCGTGGTAGTCCGGATGCGGACAGAGGGTGGAGGAGGCGACTGCCAGCCTGTCCCTTCTCAAACTCCATCTCCCACATTGTCCTTGGAGACCCCCTGGGATGAACGATTGCAAAATTAAATTGGTAGGGTGTTCCAACAAATGCTGCGTGAGAGAATCTGGGTTTACTAATAAGGAAAACTTCAAAACGGGCTTTATTCAGGGGGAAGGAAGCATTAATCAGCATTTTCTTCACTTACAAGTGACAGAAGGCCTTCTCAGACTGGCTCAAGCCAAGAGCAGGGTTTATTACTCGCTTAACTGAAGAAGTGCCTGGTTTCAGGCACAGTAGGTCCGAGTGCCCTGGTGAGGTTTGATGGTGACTGTCCCTGCCACTTGCTCTGGTCTCTTCCTTCTTGGCTCTGCCCACGCTGCGGCAGGATGGGCCCCAGGCAGTGCCAGGCTTTGACCTGGAGGTCGGAGGAAGGGGCTCTTTCACATCCATCCCACCAGGACTCCTGGGCCCAGCTCTCTGGCTCTCTTGGGCCACGTGTTTGTCCCTGGTCAGGGGGACAAAGTGCTCCGGAGCTTGGAACAAGGGGTCACCCTCCCTTGAGTCCCACGGATTGAGATAGCGGGGAGGTGCCCTGAACTTGCACTGACCTGGAGCAGGTGTGGGTTGTCCCAGCAGTGTGACGGTCGGCAGGGGCCCAGTGTACTGCTTCTGTCTGTTGCTGGCATTTCTCTAACCCAATTAAGGGTTGACTTGGCTACCCCCTAGGAATTAAGGTGGCAACAGGACATCCGGAAAGCAGGTGATTGATTTCACCGTGTGTCTCTTTGAAGTCCAAGTTTGCACGGGGAAAATGATGAGCCTGGGCCTGGCCTTGCCTGGTTGCAGATACACCACTGGTGAGAACTGCTTGCAGGCCTCCCTGCTTCCCAGGGCTCAGGATTTAGTCTGGGAGGTGCCCACAGATCTAAAAGACATACAGGCAGTTGAATATAATCCCTTTCTTTGTATGAGCCAAAATTCTAGCATTATTATAGCTGCTGGGTGTCCTGCAGAAAAACCCTTGTCATATGTGACTCTTGTAGGATTTTACCTCGCTGCCCAAATTCTAGGCCAGGTGTCAGACTTCACATTTGCATCAGTGCCCTTTTGTTCTTCTGACCCTTTCACAAGTGCCCGTTTGATCTTTGTAAGTCTTGACCCACTGTCTTTGAGGAAGTTGACCCTCCTTCCACACCCTGCCCGACTGAGTGCAGCAGAGACTGTCAGCCTCTTGGGGACCAGGGCCTAGGGCCCCCTGCAGTGTGACTTCTTACCAGCCCTGTGTGGAGGGGCCGAGGGTGGCTGACAGTGTGGCTGGCATTGCTTTCCTCTCCTGACCGAGATCATCTACATTTGCCCCAGGTGTTCCGTGCAGTGCCCAGAGTTGATAGCCACCATTCTGACTAAGCATCTCATATGGAAGAGAAGGGGTTGTGGCTCCTTAAAGTCAGCAGCACATCCCAGTACAGCTGGAATTTGTCAGCTGTGCGGAGGCCGGCTCTCAAGTGTCACCAACACTTCTGAACCCAGATATCTGGCCCTTCACTGCGAAAAAGAAATACTAATAACAAAATTGTGTAATTTATAATTAAATGTAGACTTAGAGTTTATAAATAAAGATACAGATTTAATAAGATAATAAAATTAGAACAAAGCAAACCCGGGAGTCTAAGGCTGGAGGATTTCAGCAAGCCTAGTGGGCCAGTTGGTGGCCAGGGAAGGTAGTGGTGTCTCACCTGGTGGGTGACTGTGAGAATGAGCCCTCTCCTCCTGTGGGGCTGGCCGATGCTAAGACCAGGGCAAGCACCGGAGAAGGCGGGCTGGCACGGGGACCCGTGCTCACTCTCCTCTACCTGTCACCGGTGAAGTTGTCTGGGGCTGGAGGTGCTTGTCTGCCAGATCCGTGATTGTGAGTGTGTTTGTTACACTGGCAGCTGAGCGGCTGGAGGGGAGATGCTCAAATGGGACAGGGAGTGGTTCTCAGCTCCATCTGTACTTGGGGGTCATCTGGAGAACCTGACGAAGCTTCGGCCCCTGGGCCCAGTCCTAGATATTCCAGTTAACCTGGCCCAGGATGGGCCCAGGTCTGGTGGTTTTACAGCTCCGAGGAGGACTGTCAGGTGCAGCTGGGGTAGAGAAGCATGGGTGCAGACCAACAGGGTTGGCATCATCTCAAGCCTGTGGGAAATGCAGAATCTCCGGCCCATTCCAGACCTCCTGGTCCAAGTCGGCCTCATGACGAGATCCCAGGTGATTTGTGTGCACATCACTGCTTGCAGAGCAGCCTGGGGACATCCTGAAAGCATTAAGCCTGTCTCACAGTAGCCTAGAGATGAGGCAAATGAAGGGCAGGCTTACTGGTTGCTGGGTGCTATGGGGGCATCGTGGATGAGGCACGCAGCCACGGGCTTCCAGGAAGATTGTGTGGGAAGGGCTTCCGAGCAGAAGGGCCAGCCTGGGCGAGGATCTGAGGACGGAGCTAGCGTGGCATCTGTGGCAGTGCCGGGAATTTGGGCAGCTTGGTTTTGGGGGCCTGGCATGGAGGGCTGTGTGTGTGATGGATGGGCAAGAGCCACCCCTGTGAGGCCATGTTTTGTGAGTGGGGTCTGCCTTCCGGCTGCTCCAGAGACGCTGGCAGGCAGGGCGCTGTGCCTGCTCAGACGGGCCACAGACATATAGCCAGTGGCTTGGTGCTGAGGGTCACGTGCGGTGGATGAGGCTGTGTGGATGTAGATCGCCTCCTGCACTGTGTAGGAAACAAGAAACGCCCTACAAGCCACACAACTACGAGGCATCTGGAGATCAGAAGGGAGTTCTGAGAATCAGGGAGGGCTTCAGGAGGGAGGTGAGACTGATCTGGATCTTGAAGGATGGTGGAGATTCGATTAGACATGTAAGGAGAGAGGGGAGGCAGGAAGCGGGGGGTGGCATGTGGGGAGGGACCAGTCCCCTTAGGTGAAAAGCCAAACAAGGTGATAAAAAAGCACACATGCCAAGAAAACACTATAGACCGTTTACTGCCAGCTAACAGGGTCAGATAAAGACGGTTCAGAGGAGGGACAGAGAGCTGCCAGCCGAGGTTGGCAGGAGAGATTTTCAAGAGATGTGAGATTTGAGTTGGCCTTGAAGGGCTGGGAAAGTCGGCAGTAGGAAGTGGGCTGACAGGAAGGACTCCGGAAGGAGCTCCAGGTGGAGGAGTCTGATCAGAAAACAGGTGGAGGAAGGAGAATGCAAGGTGAGTGAGCAGAGGCCTGGGAAGAGGGCAGATGGAGGGGCCTCGACTGGAGGCCACTGAGGTGGAATCTGCACAAGCAGGGGGCAGGGAGGTGGCCGCTGGCAGCTAAAGGGCAGGACGACTGCGTGCCGAGGTTGCGGGGG